CCAGAGAGAATATATTGAAAAAGTAGAATTGGAAAGGGACTATTTAAAAATTTTCCCTTTGGGCTAAACATAGGAGAAATAAAGAGAGGAGAAATAAAGAAAAAAATCATTAATGAAATTAGAGACTACTTTGACATATCGAATTATGAGCACACAGCACAGGAAAGTAATTTTCCACCAGCTACTCAGCTGTAGTAATAATTAAACTCAAAGTCCAGCCTCCTATTTTTTTTTTTTTTTTCCAGAAAGGGTTGGCATGGTATAACAGTGACTTCAGTCTCTGAGAATCAAATGCTTATTTAAAAACATTTATGGTACTCAAAGGAATAAACTTAGTAAAATAAAACTATTTTTCTGAAACCATTCTACTCATTGTTTAAATTATCTTTCTTTTGTTTTAATGACATTATAGGAGATTAGGCTTCAATTTTGAAGAGCTCTGTAGAGGCAGAGGGAAAAAGATTAGCATCGGTAAGTCATTTTTGATGGAGGATACAACAGTTTTTGAAATTTTGGTTATCAGTTGAAATTCTGAAGGTTTCAAGATTTGAAGCAAGCAGCTATGGGGTCTGGGGAATATTTGGTTTATGATAGTAACGTCAGTAGCTTCTGGGCAGTGGTGAAAACACCCACTGTTTGAATTAGACATTGGCTACAAGATCCAGAGCTTTCTGTCCACACGTCATTCTCTGCCACTTGCTGCTGCAGAGATGCCCTGCTCTGGGCAGAAGTGCTTCCTTCTGTGGCCAGTCAGGTGGGAACAGGTGTAGGGCTAGAGCAGATAGACAGGTGGAGGAAAGCCACTTCCTCTCTGTTACCCACAGCATGAGACAGGGAAGTGAATTTCCTAGGTTTTCACTTAAAATAATTTTTCAGTGGAGGGACTGCACTTGGGGATCCACACATGTGGCCTTGATGCCGCAGGTTCCCCACCCCTCAATATTCCCCTGAGTGTGGGAGTGGGTGGGGGGAGGTGATGGGAGCAGAGACGTGTGTAGGACAAGCAGGGTCAAGGGGCTGTCTGCCATCCTGGGTCGATTACAAATTCCTCAAGGGCAGAGACTCTGTCTTCAGAGGCAGTATGACATCACGGTTTCAGTTGGGACGCCAGAACTCTGCCGCTTGCTATTCCTTAATACCTAACCGCTCTCTGCCTCTGTTTTCTCATCTGTATAATGGGAATATTATAGTATATTCTTCATAGGGTTGTTGTGAGATTCAGTGAGTTAATCTGTCTAAAGTGCTTATTATTGAATGGACACACAATATCATACAAACTGAATAATACTGACTATAATTTTCCATAGCTTTAACCCTGCAGACATTTTTCTGTGCTTGGTACAGAAAACAAGCACAATAATTTCTTAATAACTTTATTAATTTACTTCCAGACAGGCTTATATTTATTTTTTTAATTGGCAAATAAAAAAAATTGTATATATTTATTATGTATAACATGTTATTTTGATGTATGTATACATCGTGGAATGGCTAAATCAAGCGTATGTATCTTGCCCTGTAAACCTGTATCTATATCTTGCTCTTGCCCTGTAATCCTATTGTAATCCTATCTTGCTCCCCCTCACTAATTTCAGCTCATGCTTGCCTTACTTTGGTGTCTGGTCATTCCTCCACCATGGACACATCAAGAACCGACATTTCATTCTGAAACCTCACAGCACCAAACCATCAGGATTAACTTCCCAAAGAATGGTGATGTAAGTTAAATAGAGCTCAGAGTCTTTGGGGTGTTTTTGTGTAGGAGGTGGAAGAGGAGGGAAATGATCATCTTCATAGCAATGACAATAAACTAAAGAAATGTGCCTCCTGGCATAAAGTACTGCTCACAAAAAAGAAAAAGAAAAAAAAGAAGAAAAAAAAGGTGGCTCCAGGAGCTTGTGCCCACTGCATACATTTCTTTTGAGTAATGCCAAATTGTGTTCGGCAAAAACTGATCACTTGTATCATAAATTGTCAGTAATTGCAGAAGTAACCAATCAAAAAGAAAAGAAAGTTCAAGTGTAGAAAATCCTGTTAGGAACACGGCTTTAGCCTTTATATCGTGGGCAGACAGCGCCATCTGGTGTACAGTTGTGTAAACCACACATTGGGTTTTTTTGCTGTAACCTCCCTACTAATAATCAATGTGATTCAGCTGTCTTTACAAAAACAAACCATTCTTGAGGCTTTCTTAGGGTCACACTTTGAGACCCTCGGCTCATTTCCAAACTTAAGGGCTTCTTAAGCCTATTGTAATCTTACTAACCACGTTAAATAGGATTTGCATGCTGACAGATCTTTGTAAGAGCAAAGTCAAAGCTTAAGTCCAGGGAGCCAGAAACTATAAGTAAATAGAGAAAGACAGCGAGGAGAGAGCAGAAATTGTAGCGCGTGGGGGCTTGGAGGGAAAGAGACCATGAAACCACAAGAGGAAAAAAAATGAGCCTGTCTTTGGGCTTCCTCATATGTTATTTCTAGTAACAGTCTAGTTCAGGTCATGTGCACTCTGACATAAACTCTTGTTCTTGAATGAGTCTCTACTTCTTGTAATCAAATGAGCTTGACTAGAATACTATGTTTTTTAGTGAAGCCAAAGACTATAAATCCTAAAATCTGGCATGCTAACCTTGAAAAGTCCCCCATGTTTGTATGTGTTACTTCTTTAAACTGATAGAGCCCAATAAATAAAATATAGGAAGGGGGAAGGAAAATGACATGAGCCAGTCGGATTTCTGCAGCCCAGGTCTCTGACCTTCCTCTGAGAGGCAGGTGCACCCACACAATGTGACAGAACTCAGCAATCAGAGCATGTGCTGCAGCTAGCACGGTCCCAGGACCGCCCTGTGAATTTCCTCTGATAGAAGTAGGCTCTTTAGTACCTTAAATAGATCTTGTAACTCACTTGATTCCTGAGTTAGTAATTTATTGACTTACTGTCAGTATAGATTCTTAACTGGGGCCCAAACTGGCAACTTCTGAGGACATTTTTGGTTGTTACAACTGGGAGAAGGGCACACTACTGCCATCTAGTGGATAGAGGCCAGACATACTACTGCAAAACATCCTGCAATGCACAGGGCAGCCCCACAACGGAGAATTATCTGGCCCCCATATGTCAATAATACTGAGGCTAAGAAACCCTGGTGTCCACCGCAGGAGAAGCCTTAGAGGGAATTGTTAAATTTGTATGAACGGCAGAGGGTTGACCAAAAGTTTAGAATTCTACCAGGGGGACTGCTACTCGGTTTGGGGAACACCATACTATATCACTACCTGTAGCTTAATACCCAGTCACAGGCGACAGGTGCCAGTAGAAGCTCTGGCCATGACAAACGAAGATAAAATCTAAGCAGATAGTCCTTGAGAAACTGAACAAAGCCACAGAAAATGATTGGAGAAACTGAGGCTAATCAGTTTGAACACATTCATTCCCCTCCCCGCAATCAGGGGATTTTGTGACCTAATTTCCCACTCATATGAAAGGCAGAAGTGGGTTTAGGTGAGAGGGAAGGAGCTAAATTGAGGTGAGCAGAGGAACAGTAGATTAATGGTAGCAGATTTAAATGCACGCAGATTTGAAAAAGTCATGTTACTTTCAAGATGGGATAGCAGGCCTGTTAAAACTAAAAGATGCTTTCGTTAAGTGAGATTTTGGTTGGTCAGGTTCAGAAAAGCAAGTCCCTCCCCTCAAGAGCATGCACAGCAGGAATCCAAAGCAGTCATTAATTTCAGGACTGGAAGACAAAAAGCAATGCTGCCCCTCCCACACACTGCCCATTAAAATACGTAATTTTTCTGATGGAGGCTTGCATTTTCTGGGATCTAGGCCAGAGAAATCATGGTCAGTGGATTTCCCTGTAACCGGAGGCTGAGGAGCAAGTTCCAAACGGGGAATGTCCTGGAACACTCCTTAGGCAAGGCCAAGTTGAAGATAAGCTTCAGGTTTTGCCTACAGGACATTTATAGGATACTTGTCTGTGCTCCAAGAGGACTTGAGACAGTCTACTTTGTGAATATGGAATTTTGTTTTTAATTAGGTTAATCCACAGAGAACCACACCTCAGGAATCACATTCATTCATTCATTCATTTATTTATCCTTTTAATAAACTTGTAGGTCTAAGCATTTTACTAAATGCTAGTGACAAAAAGAAGCATAAGATGTGCTTTATCAGTCCAGTCGGGTCTACACAGGTGAATAAATAATTGTAATGCAGCAATGAGGTCTCCACTGCCAGGAATTCCCTGACTTTGTCTTCTTCTGTCACTCCTCGGGCAGTTAGCTACCCTTTGAGTTGTGTCCACATCACAAAGGTGTTGGGTACATGAGAGAGACAGAATCTGTGCATTTCCGGCCCAGACCCCACATTAAGCGCTCCATAGTTAGCGGCTATTATCCACAGAACCAGGCTTTGGCTGGAAGAACCTTTTCCAAGACTGGGGACTCAGGAGACATGGGAATTTGCATTTTTAAGTTCTCCAGATTATATAACATTGTGTTTACATGCGCAACAAAGTTTGTGAATCAGCCCGAGTAACGGCGAACTGTGGAAAGTTTTTAATCACGGACATTTACTCTCCACAAAGCCCCCAAAACAAGGAGAGGCTGCAACCCCCAACACCGACAGGTGAATCCTTCCTTTCCGCTCCACCTTCTGGTCCAGCCCGACCTGGACTACATTTCCCAGGTCGCCCCATTGCGGGCGCTCCTGCAGGATTGGCCAGAACACCGCGGAAGTGCTTGCAGGTCGCCCAGCAACAGGCGGAGTCCTGGACCGTGACGGGATGCGCACGCCCCTTCCCTGAGGGGTCTGAGGGGAACGAAGCTCCGCTCCACGTCCCGGGCTATAGGACGTTCTCCGGGCCTGACGTCCAGCCGAGCGGCAGAGCAAACTTCTCTGCGCTCTCCCCGCCTTTTCCGCCGGGCCCCGCCCCTTTTGTGCTGGCAGCTGCAGAACTCCGGAGACTGGATCGCAGCTGCATAGTCGGCTGAGCGGCCCTGGAAGCCGCAGTGCGCAGGCGCGAGCGGTCCGGACCCCGGCGCGCGCGGCGCGCGGTTGAAGCGGGTGTGAGTTTCTGTGTGAGGAGACGCGGCAGCGGGCGACCGGGCGGCTTTCCTGTCAGCCATGGCAGCCCTACGCTACGCGGGCCTGGACGATACCGATAGTGAGGACGAGCTGCCCCCGGGCTGGGAGGAGAGAACCACCAAGGACGGCTGGGTTTACTATGCCAAGTAAGGGGGCCGCCGGGCCTGGGACGCACCTGGGACCCTGCGCCTCGCTCCCCCGCGCCACCTGTGAGGGGTTGCGGGAGGCGGGGCGCGGGCCCCGCGCTGCAGCGCGGCGAGAGCGCTGCGAAGCGGGAGTGATTGTCAAAGAGCTGCAGGCGGAGGTTCGAGGGTCGTTCCCCCGTCACCCCCACAGGGGCTGGCCCCCTTTTGTGGTCCCTGGGTCTAGCAGGGGTCACCTGGCGGTGCTCAGCTGCGCTCTCTGCTGTTCAGGAGGCGGCACTACGCGGCGCAGCGGTGGCAAACCGGTTTAACCCCCTCCCCTGCAAAAAGATTAAGAAATTTTTAAAAGTGCAGATGCCCAGTTCCCTCCTGGAGGGTCTGGGGTCGGGGGGCGTCTAGGAGTGTGTAGTTTTTAGCAACTGTCCTAGATAGGTTCGCTGTCGTTTCCTGGGAAAGTTTTGGAAACCCTGGCGGAGCCTTCCTCCGTCACTGTGTGAACTTGAGCCACCGAAAGGACATTTAACCTCAGTTTTCTCATCTGTAAAATAGGTTGATTTGAGAGTCGATTCAGGTACTGCTCATGAAGCACTTAGCGCAGGGCCTGAAAGATACTCTCTCCAGTAACTGTTAGTCTTCCCTGATGGCTTTTTAGTCGTGACAACACCCCTTAGATCAGCACCTTAAAATCACCTGGCGAGTGTCTTAAATACAGATTTTGGGTCTCCGTGAAGAACCTACTGCAGCGGACTCTCAACTTGGGGCAATCTGTATTTCTTAAGCTTTCCAGGTGAGGTGCGTTATCACCTGGCTTTGAGAAAAATGGTTGTCGATCCGTGACTTTCAGCACCTGGAGAACTTTAAAAGTAGCTTTTCCTGGGCCCCACTTCCAGAGATTCTGAGTTAATTGATTTGGGCCCTCCCCTCCTCCCGGTTGGTAGAGTGTAAAATCTTCCCAGGTGACTCTCATCCACTCAGGGTGGTTGAGAACCCCTGCTGTCCTGGGTGGCCAGGTAGAAAGAAAAAACAGAAAAAAGTACAAGTTCATTCGTTGAAGACACACGGAGCTCGTGCGCGAGGCCTTTTGCTGGGCACTGGTTATGCCGCGATAGAGAAGACCCAGTTGTCATCCCTAATGAGTGACCAATCTTAGGGCAGAGTGACACGTCGTAAGATAGTGTGGCATGAGGTGTGTGTGGGCAGGCGGGGCGTGGTAGGGAGGTGGCCTGGGAGAGTGAGCACCTGAGCTGTGTCCTGAGCACAAGAAGAGGTAGGTGGGGCGGGACGGCAGCCCAGGTTGAGGGAACGGAGACCCTGGGCATGGCCTGTCCAGGGACCGATGTTCTGTGCGTGGTGCAGGAATGCGACGACTGAGACAGGGGAGGAAGGACACAGTTCACGGAGGCCCTTTTGTGCCTTGCGGAGGAGCTTGGGCTCTGTTGGCAGGCCCAGGCGTTCCCTGAAGTTTTGGGGCCAGGGAGTGGCATTAGGTTTGTGTCTTTAGAAAGGATCTCTGGCTCTGGAGAATCAAAGGGACAATTCCAGCAGCAGGAGCCATTGAGCTGTTGCAGGGGTCCAGGCAAGCTCCTGACCAGGCACTTGGTGTTCCTTCTGCCTGGAGAACTGTACATGATGGGCTCCTTTCCATCCTTCAGAGCTGAGCCTAGATGTCACTGCCCAAGAGACCCTCCCAGCTGTGGGTGCCCCATCCCCGGTACCTGTCACCTTGTTTATCTGCTTCTTGTTTATCTGCTTCCCCTTCCAAGTACTTAGCATTATGGAGGAATCTTGTCAGTCCTCTTCCTCCTTTGTTCTGTCTTCCTCCCCCCAACTGCAAACTTCATGAGGGCAGCTTGTTCGCCTTGAGGATGCCACTGGCCTGTCCTCTAACCCTGGATTCCCTTGACCTCTCCTGACCTGCCAGTGACCTGGTTCTTTTCCTTCCTAACTCTGGAAACCACACTCATCTTTCTCTTGGAGTTTGGGAAGCTTTGCTAATGGGCTCTTAGTTGACAACCTTACCAGTCATTCCTTTTTGCCCGAATGGTCTTCCTTGCCAGGCAGCAGGGCCATACCGGAGGACAGTCCTGTGGAACCCCCTTTCGTAGCCTCAGCTCTGTCTTGTGTGGGTGCTGTCGGCCTCCCACTTTCCCACCTGCCCCACGGTGCTCTGATAGGCCTCAAAGGCACGTGTATCTTAGGGCTTCCCAGGACAGGCGTGGGAGGGAGGGGTCTGGGATGTTCCGCCACTGAGGACAGACCTGTGGGTGGAGAGAGCTGCCTGGCCTTTCTCCCAGGCACCCCACCAATAGCCCCAGAGCAGACCCTCTGTGGGAGATGGAATCAGAGGGACAAGGTCTTCCTGGGTTGTCCTCCCCTGTCTCTGTTTTCTTGTGAAGCCAGAGGGATGGCCAGCCTATCCCTGTCAGGAAAGTTTCCCTTAACCACAGAGCTGGCTGTCCTCGCAGTTGGCTCTAGATCTCCCTGCTAACTTAAACTATGCTTAAAAAATAAAAAAAATAAAAACTTTGGAAGATGTAATGTGTAAATATTATTTTGATCCCTTTGCTTTAAGTGAGGTAAGATCGCTATCAATTATCTCTTTAGATGACAAGCTTATTGAAAGGAAAAAAGAGGGCTTCTATTTAAGGGAGAATAAGGTAACACTTTGGGGACATGTGTTATAGTTTTCTCTTCATTAAGTCATTTAAGGTTATAATTAAAAATAATATCTTTTAATTAATTTTTATATATAAGTATTTATTTAAAATAATACTTCTGTTGAAAGACACAGTTCTTAGTTCTTCACGTTAGCTCATTCAATCCTCTATAACCCCCAAAAGTAGGTGCTGTCGTTGTCCCCATCTTACCAATGAGGAAACTGAGGCACAGGGAGGTGGGTGGCTAGTGAGTGGGAGAACCAGAAAACCTGAGCAGTCAGGCTTCAGAATCCTCACTGCCAAATTACTCTCCCTTCACTTCAGTTAGGTCTGGGTTCTTTCCTAGGGATGATAGTGTTCTCCAGGGGGTGGTTGGCGATGTCTGGAGATGCTTTCTTTCTTTCTTTTTAAAGAGATCAGGTCTTGCTATGTTGCTCAGGCTGGTCTTGGACTCCTGGCCTCAAGTGATCCTCCTGCCTCAGCCTCCCAAAGTGTTGGGATTACAGGCGTGAGCCACTGTGCCTGGCCTCAGAGACGTTTTCCGTTGCCATGACCGTGGGGAGTGGTGTATCAGCACCTAGTGGGTAGGGGCCCGGTGTGCACGGGACAGCCTCCACAACAGTTACCCAATCCCAAATGAATGTAAGAAACTCGAGGCATGTTCTTTCAAAGTCGAGAATGTAGGTTGACAGTTTATTTTGTTTTTTAAATGTCTTTCGTGATAGATAAAAATGCTTCTCATTTTATAGCTGCTTTGGAAAGTGTTTGTTTATTCTGTATATTTACATATGTGCGCGTACTGTGGGCCAGGCTTGGGGCCAGGTGTCTGAGGGCCCAACTTGACCTACCGAGGGCCTGGGACGCTCTTTACTGTCTGCCGTCGAGGCTCAGTGTTCCACTTTCAGGGGTCACTTCATGGATTCTCGAGGGCAGATTTTTTTGGAGCTACCCTCCAAGTTCATTTGATCTGTGCCTATGAGATGAAGACTACTTTTAATGTCAGGCCAAGGAAAGTGCACCTGTGTGTCTTAACTTCCTTGAAGAGCCAGGTATGGCCAGGCAGGGAGCAGGAAGGTTGTAGGTTATTGCCAACGCTTGGTTATCTGATTGCTGTCCCTTTTCGAGGGTAAGTGGAGTTGGTGTACTGCTAGTCCCTTTGTGTCAGTGAAGGGTGGCTTATCCTTACTAGGGAGTCAGCGCTTCCTTTTTTGCAAGTAGTGTTTGGCGGCAGGTTGAAATGCAGAGTAGGAGTTTCTTTGCTACTGATACTGTAGCTGGTACAAGGATTTAATCGTTCTCCAAGTCCTGTCACAGGTGTCGGTGTCTCACCTTTCCAGCAGCTCTTTGAGGTGACTGCAGTGCCAGGGAGACTGGCTGGCTGACCGCAGCTAGCACGGGGAGCTCAGGTGTCCTGCCTGAGCCCAGCATCCCTGAACTGTGGCAGAGGCCCAGCCGCTGGAGTCTGTAAAAACAGACCAGAAGCCAGCAGTTCATGAAGAGGCCTTGCTTGTGACTTGCAACATTTTAAAGAAAATTCATGCTCTCTGTATTTTTTTTTTCTTTAAAGGAATATTCAAATTTTATCCTCTAGGTTAAATAATATTATTTTCTATTTTGGCATGAGTATATGAACTTTTAGGAAATCCAAACCACCCTTTGAATGCCTCTTGCCACATCTGGCCATTTCCCTGATTAATTGTCTTTTCCTGGGTACCTTATCACCTGATGACAGGCGTTTCTAGTTATTGACGCGCTATTTCAATTATAACTTTGGGTGTTGTCCTGAGATAAAATGCTAAAGTTTGGCACAGAAATCAGACTAGTTTGTATAATTGATTTGTTCAAAATAATAGCTTATATTTTGCAGGGCTTTTTATATGCCAAGTACTATGTGAAACCCTTTCTGTACACTATCCTCATAGCAACCCCCAAGATCAACACTAGGATTATTTCCATTTTGCAGATGAGGAAATGAAGGCCAAGAAGTTGAGTGACTTGCCCCAAGGTGCACAGCTAGAAGACCTATGGGGCTGTCTTGCTGCATTCATTATTAGGAATCAGTGCTTACCGAAACACCTTGAAGTTACATCTGCAGAAAGAATAAGCATTTTAGCTGGGCTTGGTGGTATATGCCTGTAGTCGCAGCTACTCGGGAGGCTGAGGATGAGGGAGGATCACTTGAGCCCAGGGGTTCAAGGTCAGCCGTTTCTTTAAAAAAATAAATAAATAAACATCTTAAGAAGATTAACTTACCTAAATTATGTTTGAATATCAGCATTATAAATTAGACATCATGAATTTTGTCACTATATCCTGGAATAAAACTAAAACAAATGTAAAATGCCTTTCTTGGTATTTTGAGTGATTCAGCCAGCTTCCTAAAGTTGACCCGATAGCTGGGGTCCCTTTCTTCCGTCTCCCCCTCCACACCTGGCTGATAAAGCCAGGCTGCTGGGAAATTTCCACAGGATTGCTGCTGCTTCCAACCTGGGGAATTTGACCTGATGCAAATGGTAGAATTTATGTTCTGAGTATTTCTTTTTTGAATACTTGTTTTTACTACTCTTCAGAGAAATATCTGGAAAGAAAAAATTTAATGCAATTGGTTACTTTTTAGAAGTGTTAATATTTACTTATTATTTTTTGTGCGTGTGTGTGTTTTTTTTTTTAACAGTCACACTGAGGAGAAGACTCAATGGGAACATCCGAAAACTGGAAAAAGAAAACGAGTAGCAGGAGGTTTGTATGTTGTTGTCATAAAGCAAATAATCTTGTATTTGGAGTGTTATTTAGATAGGGAAAATGTTACATTCAGTGAGGTGATGGGTCATAGTGTCTTTTCGGGGGGGCTTTCTGGGAGAGAACCCGTCAAGGAACAGGACTGTCACTCTGAGGAGCTTCTGGGATTTGACAGAAGAAGGTGATGAAATTTTGAGGTGGAGTGAGGACGATTTCTCACTGGTCTTAAATAAAAAAGTATCAAAATAATTGGGGCCTTTGACTGACAGTTTATTAGGTTTCCCTATAGTTACACTGTTCATAAAACTGTTCTTGGTTTATGCTGTGGAATTAAAAACATCAATGTTTTATGGAGTTCATAAAGATTGCCATGACTTCTAGGTACTTCTGAGCAAGTTTGTGATTATTTGAATAGAAGTATAAGAAGGTCCCTGCCCTTAAGAGGTTAGGGTCCAGTTGAAGGGACAACATGGACTTGCAAAAAAAAAAAATGGAACTGCTCTGTAATATTGTTTGAGGCGTCACAAGTCAGCACATGAATGGTATTGGGTGCCTACTATACATATGGTTATGTTCTGTGAGCTCATTCGAGGGAGAATTCACATTGATTGGAGCAACCAGTAAGGTTCAGAGTGATCAAGAATGAAATAGCTTTTCTTTAAAGCAAGAGGCAGGGATATATGGAGTCCAGTTGGGGTAATGGGCCTTCTGTATCTGACACAATTGGAACATGTGACCATAGCCAGTTGAAGTGACTGCTTTTGGGGGCTGAGAGGTCATGGTGCCTTTCCTTCCCGACCTGGGGTGGGTCTTCACTCTGGCACATGGAGACCTGTCAGTCTGTCTTGTGTTTCAGATTTGCCATACGGATGGGAACAAGAAACCGATGAGAACGGACAAGTGTTCTTTGTTGAGTAAGTATCTACGTAGAAACTACCCTCAGCCATCTTGCTTTTTAATAGGAATTTTTTTTATTACAAAAGTAATACACATTGTAGAAAAACATGAAATAGTATATACCTATAATCTTATTAGCAGTGATAACTACTTTTAACAGTTTTTGGATTTATTTTCTATGCACATACTTTCTTTAAAAAAAAAGGGAATGCGTTGTGTTTAGTAACCCGGTTTTTCCACATAATATATTTGTGAGAATATTCTCATATCCTTGAAGAAGATGATATTTAGTGGCTATAGAGTATTATTTTGCACAGATATACTATAATTTATCAAATTGCCTATTGGGCATTGATGTTAAATTCCTATTATTGGGAATCTATAATTCTAAATAATGTTTTGAGTATCTTTATCTGTAAAACTTTTTACTTCTTTGATTCCATCTTTAGAATAAATTCCAGTATTAAACAGCATAGTAACCACCTGTCAAGCATATAGCACGAGCCAGGCATGATTCTAACACCTTCTATCTGTAGTGTTAGCTCATTCGATCTCCACGGTGCCCTGAGAGGTGTCACTGTTATCGTCACTGGCTTACTGCTGATGATTTAGACCGAGTAAGCGATTTGTTAAGGATCCTGCAGCAAGTAAATGGCAGAGCCAGGATATGAGCCCAGCACCTGCTCCAGGGTCTGCACCCTTGGCCACCATCGTAAAGAGGGGAATGAATGTTTCACGACTATCCACATTTAAATCAGAAGATTGCATATTTAATGGGATTAGGATTGATTGGTTAATAGAAGTTGATTTAAGCAGGAATTGTTTTTCTTAAGTTACATATGTAACATAAATATTTTCCTTTAACGTTTAGTTTGAGTATACCAGGCTTTTGGGGTTGGGCCAGGCCTGCTCTCTGCGTGTGGGTCTGCTACTTCCCCAGCACACCCATAGCAAAGCATCTGCAGTTTCTACTTTCGTTTTCTTTAAGGTTTAGCAAAAGCTTATATTTTCAAAGAATCCGAATGCTACATCTCTTGGGAGTGTTATGGTGTTTTTCTAGCATTTTCACTGTACTTGAATGAACCAAAACATTTTTTTTTCCTAGCTAATTATCTTTGAGGCTCTCCAAACTTTCATAGACATAGTGACAATTTTCACCTCACCTTACCAGTTAATGTAATAATAGTTCATTAAATAATGTAGTCACAGTGACAAGTTCAAATGGCATAAGTGGTTTTTGAACAAACATAGTCAACTCTTGGTGCATATCCAACACTGGGAGCAAATGGGCCAAGGCTTGCTTGGGAGGAGTGTCACGGCCACCACGGGCAGCCCCAGGAAGACAGGGCTGTGTGGCAATTGGATAGGTGGCATGTTTGTTGTTGCCCGTTAGTTTGTAAAAGGCCTTTCCCCCTGATTTGTAAAAGCTTTTTTCGTCAACAAATTAAGGATATCAACCCATTGGTTATATGTTGCAAATGTTTTTTCCAAGTTTTTCTTTTAACTTTGTTGATTTTTTAAAAATCAACTATAGAATTTCTTAAATTTTTGTGTAGTCATATCACTTTTCTCCTGTGCAGGCTTTGCCTTTGCATTAATGCTTGGCAGGTTCTTCCCCTGAAGTGGATGTTAATCTTAATCAACCTAGAGCAGTGGTTCCCAGGTGTGGTTCCTGTACCAGCTACATTAGCATCACTTGGGAATTTATTAGAAATGTACATTCTTAGGCTCCCAGGCGCAGACCTGTTGAATCAGCAACTCTGGGGACAGGGCTGGCAACCTGCGCTTTAACAAGGCCTCCAGGAGATTCTGTCGCACACGAGTTTGAGAGTTACTTGTCTGCTCTAGAGCGTGGGTTGTCGACTTGTATCTGGAAAGGGCCAGATAATACGTTTTAGGCTTTTCCAGCCACGTGGTTTCTGTTGCATTTATTCAGCTTTGTCATTGTACTGCTAAAGCAGCTATATACAATATATAAATGATGGGCATTGCTGTGTTCCAATAAACCTTTATTTACAAAAACAGGTAGTGGGCCGGATTTGGCCAACTCCAATCTTAATCTAGAGGAATAAGCAGGGGCTTTGGAGGCAAGCTTGGTTCCCTTGCTGGTCACCTCACTTCTCTGAGCCTGTTGTAGTCGTGTGCTGGTAAATGTTTAATGACAGCTCTTTAGGGGAATAAAAGCCTAGATTTGTTTCTGTGGTGTAAATACTTTTACCATTACCAATTTCAAGCTACCAAGGCAAAGTCACTGAGGAGTTGGGAAGAGATAGGCACGTTCGACTTTTGTGAGCTGGCTCCCACATAGCACTGCTCTGTGTATAACACTGGGGTCATAGAGCGCATCCGGCAGGCAATAGATGTAATAAAATAAAAGTTGGGTTATTCTTGAGTCTTAGTGTTTATAGGATGATAAGTATAGATTTTAAACTATATCATTTTATACACATATTATGAATACTTTATAAATTATGAAACCTCATCTATTTCTGGAGAGTTCTTAATTGCATTTAAAGATATTTTGAGGTCTTTATCTCAAATTCCAAGAATACATTTAAAATGTAAAAAAATCTATTATAAGGAGTAACTTTTTAATCCATGTGTGCCAATATATTTTAATATTGTTTCTACAAGATTTAGATCAACTCCAAATCAAAATTAGAGTACTTGTAGGAGGTATGAGTACAATCTTAAAATCAAAACCATTAGAATTTTATTAGTTGGCTAGTTTCACATTTACTATTAAGGCTTTTATCATTTTGAGTTTCCTGCTTCTCTGCCAGTCTTTGGGCCTTTGCACAGGGCTAAGAGATTTAATTGAAATCTACCAAGAAGAGTGGCTGACAGATCTTATAACCACACTTACATGAATTAAATAAAAACCTTCTCAAGAAGCCTTTTTTGAGATTTGAGGATACAAGGCAATAGTTAGTGTGTATTACGGAGTGTTTCACAGGCAGTTCCGAAGGAAAAGCGTCGATGACTGTCTTTCCAGGCAGGCATGTAATCCTCATGGAGTCTAGAAGATAGATTAAATGGGCACCTGCTCTTTCCAGGCTTAAGAGTAAGCCCTTTGGTACATGAAAAATGGGGTTTGCCTAAACTATAAGATTATATGTATAAATGCCTATGTTCACTGCTTTCCCCTTTTCTGTGCAGCCATATAAATAAAAGAACTACCTACTTGGACCCAAGATTGGCATTTACTGTGGACGATAATCCGACCAAGCCGACCACCCGGCAGAGGTACGATGGCAGTACCACCGCCATGGAAATTCTCCAGGGCCGGGATTTCACAGGCAAGGTGGTCGTGGTCACCGGAGCTAATTCAGGAATAGGTAGGCTGTTAACTTATGACACTTTATTTATTTTTTGTGATGCTATCATGAAATCCACTTAAATCTAACTATAATGGAATTTCGTCTCACAGTTCTCTAATTTAAAATGATTTTTAGCCTTTTCAGCTATCATTTCATTAAAATCATGACCTTTTTTTAAATCCCAGTATTATCATGGAGGAAGGCTATGTAGGGGCCGACCTTGAAGTCTCTGAAAGCTGAACACTCAGCAAAAGTCCATGGCCATTTTGCTATTCAGGGATTAGAGACAACAGGCTCCATCTAAGAGTTTTTGACCTGGTCTGTGTGGTGTACAGACATATTCCAATTACCTGGGTTATTCAAACGAAAGTTGATTGGTAATAGAATACAGGGAACAACAAAGTATTAGGACTTTGGAACAAAAGGTACTGCAGGCCTTGGTTGGTCACTGAGCATATCGTTTTCTTTTGGGAACAGGATCTTATTTCCTTATAAAATTGGAGAATTAGTTTCTGTCTTAACCTCTAAATTAAGTCTCTTAATTGCCAATGTCTAACCACAGTGACCATCATGCGGCAGATGGCTTGTGAACGTCCTTTCTTCAATATCATGGGCTGTTAAAGAAATAGGAGCAGAGCAGATGCTTGCACCCTAACTCTTCATGTGATTTTATTATTTCATCTTGTCCCATTTACGTGAATATCTGAATCAGCTGGAACCAACTGCTTTGAGTAAGGACGTGCATCCTTAGATTTGTTTACAGATAGAAAAAATGGAATTGCACTTGCAAGTCTTCTGGCAAGTTCTGTCCTTTTGACCCTTCTAGCCCCCACGGTGCTCCCCTTGCTGGCCGCCTCTCTCGTAAGCTTTTTCTACTCTCCCCTTTCTCTGTCTTAAATTTTGACCGGCTGCTTCCTGAACATGCTCTAGCGTCATCAGGACAAGCCCGATGTTGTTAAAGGGTCAATCGTTGTGTGGCACAGGTTCTAAAATCCAACAGGCTATAATCCGAGAGCAGAATTTTTTTATTATACTTGCCTACTTTACCTTAGTAAAGCAGCAAATGGATTTTTTTTTTTAATCGGAAGGAATTTATTTAAAATCAACTCTTACACCTCATCCTGGGCTCAGAATATGTTCAGTTCAATTTTCTGAACTTCTGCATAGGAGCAAATTCTGTATAACTGCCATTGATGTCCAAACTGATGGCCTGATATTAAAAATAATGGCTGAATCTTCAATCCAAGAAGCAATATGTTGTGTTGATTGGATTGACTGCTGTTATGGTGAATGTGTGGACCAGTACATCGCAGAATAATTAAGAAAAAGATAAGGATTTAAGGACATAAGAAAAATATCTTTTTTTATTTAACACTCAGTTAACCAGAAAATTAACTAAGAGATCTCATTCTCTTAGTCTTCCAGCTAGACTGTTTTTCTTTAATTAGTAAGATATGTGACTACTGATTATTTTCTGCGTTAAGTGTTCAAACTGTTTCGCCTAACATTAGATAGCAGACCCTTGAATGTAGCCAGTGCTCTTTCAAAGATTTGCAACACTAGGCCTATGACCTTGTAATCCAGGACTAATAAGGTTCATTCAGGTTATAAAAAGGGCTATGTCTAGTTGGACATTTAATCATGAAGGAAAGACGGAAGGAGATTCTGAAGCATTGAGAATAAATATGTTAATCAGAATGTCCCTCCAACCTTTTGGAGTAAAACTGAAAGTGCTTTGTGCCTCTTCGCAGTTCCCACTTCCCCCAAGACTCTTCCTTCCTCATGTCCACCACTCATTTTGCAGACACTGCAGGAGGTGTCTGTGGTCCAGTTGGATGTTGTGGCAGATTGTAATGCTCAGGATGGCATAGATGGTGCGGAAGGTCTTAGGGAGACCAGCCTTTCCTACTCGAGCACCCACAGTTCTTTCCCCGCCTCTAACCTTCCCTCAGGAATTGCCTTTAACATTGCCACCTCACCCCACTCCCCTCTACCCTCAGGAAGCATGCGTCTAAGTGAGTGCTGAAGATCTTTATTCTGAATTTTTGAAATAATATCCTACTGCAAATTCCAGGCAATCAAATACTCTCAAGTCATTTTCACTCTGTAGCAGTGGTGTCAGGCTGAAAGAAAGGAAGGGGATGAAGATAGGCACGTGGGTTTGCTAAGTTAGCTTTTATGTCCTACGTTGCTGCCTTTAGAAGGTGTCCTTGTCCAAGTGGGCTGTGGCTTCCAGATAAAGTCTGTCCTTCTACTGAGCTATGCAACATGCCAGTTTATAAATTGCTATCACTGCTTTAGTTCTGCTCATTGCAAATGAAACAGCTGAATGCTGAGTGAATCTGGCATCTTCATTTCCCAGACTTCTGGGGCCATTCAAGAGTCTTCTCTCAAAGCATTATTGGTGTGGGAGTTCCCTTCTTGTTTTCTATGTATAAACTGTTAAATCTTGTGAATGTTGTTCTTTTTGAAGCAGAGTAGGCTGGAACAAAATATAACAGTATTTATTTTGAGTGGTGACTCCACAATAAAAACATAGATTCCTAATTTGCCTCACAACGGCTGATTTACAAATCTGATATTTCCCGTAGTTCCTTTAAAAAAAAAAAAATTCCCCACAAGGCACTGCTTTGTTAGAGCTGCCATTGGTGAGGATCTCTGATGTGGAAGGGGACATCTCTCCCTTGACAGACTTTAGGGCTATGCTGAGTCCTACTCCTTTGACATGGCCTCCAAGCAGACTTTGGTTTCTCATCTTCCTCCCGCCGCCTGTAAGTGATACAGAGCTATATTTTGAATTTTTGATATTTGCTATTACTAAGGCAGTTGGAGGGATTCTTCCTTAATTCATCTCAAAAAGACCAGGGTGATTTTGGAAAATAAAAGCGTTCAGAGGAAATGTCAGAATAAAGCATTAAGGGTCCGTGAGATCCTTGTTTTTACAGTTAAGGTTCATAGGCAGATATTACCACTGTGGACTGGACTCAGCTGTCTAGATTGGGGGTGGGCAAACGACAGTCCCTGGGCTAAATCTGACCCGCCGGCTGATTTTGTGAGTGAAATTTTATTGGAGCACAGCCATGCCCATTATTCCTATATTGTCTGTGGCTGTTTGTGTGTCACCAGCAGAGCTGAGTAATTAAGGCAGAGGTCATATGGCTCAGAAAGCCTCGAATATTTATTGTCTGGTCCTTTACAGAAAGTTTGCCGACTCCTGCGTTAGGTGACCTAGTCCCTTTCAGAGTAAGATCGCCCAGCATTCTCTAAATTGACCATGTTTTAGAGGAAATGTAGATAACTTGGATGCCCAGGCCACAGGAAGGTTGTGGCCACACGTTGTATGTATTATAACTGTTGGAGACATCCCACCAATGTCCTGCACCCCTTGCCTCACTGGTGTTTTCCATTTCATTTTAGGGAGCTGTAAGGATTAGGATGTTGCCTCCTCGGAAACTAACACTCTTCTCTCCTTGACCTTTGTTTAACCAGCTTTCTGAACCTGAAGAACTTTGTAGATTGAAAGCTGTAGCTTGTGGACCCCTCTCTGTGGAGATCAACATCTCAGTGTCCAGGGGGAAGTCATCTCTTCACCCAAAGCTTCTACTAGCAGATCAAGAGGCCTGGAACCCCGCAGTCCTGAATGCAGTAGAGACAAGGGAGGAGTTCATTTCTGTTCTCAACATAGACTGAGCAGGAAGGGCCAGGTGTCTCACAGCTCACTGGAGCTAGCAGCTTGACGGCTCTGATTTGGCAAAAATGAATGGAAATGGCTTCAATGTGGTGCTCATTACATGCAATTGTTATTGTGAAGTTTCAGGAGAGGGAATTTTTTAGGTTAGGGAATTTCCCACCACGAAAGGTGCCATGGCT